ATGAACCATCATTAGCTTTCTATCGAATACAAGTAAATGAACAGAATAATTTTTTTCGTCTGATAATTTTTTATTTCTAAGGAACATGTACGAAAATCTTTACCTACGATGATACAAAAACGAATAGAACTTGAAAATTTACATGATCGTATGAATGGTCTCATTTTTGATGTTGAATATAGTGTTGATGCTGTTAAATCACTTCAAACTAGTGATGAACATTTAAATGTAAAATCAATTTTTATTTGTAATAATTTTCAATGGAATATTTTCTTTATTTTCTTTAGAATATTGCAACTTATTTAGAAAAATCTATTTATAATAGCAAACAGATAAATTTAATAAAACAACAACAAATTCAACAACAATTATTAGAAAAAAAACATGGATCATGAGCATTATTATAAAAATTCAAATCTCTTCAATTCTCGTCATGAATTTCATCAATTTTTGTCTGGTTTTTTTTTCGACATTTTATGCTGAAAATTTTAAATAAAGATTGATTGTATAATATAAAAAGTAAGAATTAAAACGAGACTATAGAATTTTATATCAAAATCATTGCAAAATTCGTCGAATATATTTTTATTACGTACTTAAAATATTATATAATCCAAACATTTCTTATTTGCTATTAATCAAATAAAGATGCTTTCGTTTTTAACACTTTCTATAATTTACCAAGCGTCATTAGATAGAACATTTTTTTTTTGGAAAAATTTATATCAATTCAAACATCGATTTCATCATCAGTTCATTCCGTAAAATAAATAAATTTTCGTCTTCTCTCTGACTTTTGTCACATTATATTTTATTACAAAAAAAAAACTTTTTGCGGGATTTGAAAATATATAACTCTATGAAACAATTGAATGCAAATGGTATATTAATTTTACTTGTTTATAAGATTTTAAATCAGTGTCATACATTGATTTCTGAAATTAAAGCAGAATATTCATTTAGAACTGTTGTTGACAAAGAAGCATATCTTTTTTCTTAAATAAAAAATTAGAGCATTTGCAACAATCCCAAAAATACTACTTCAATTTTTAGCGATTTTTTTCGAATCTTTCCTAAATATTCGATCCATATTACACGAGTTAGAGGTAGCACTTTCTTTTTATGGTAACAGTAAATAATAAATATTATACGAATTTTGTTTGAATTATTTAATAAATATATAAGTGAATACAACAAACATTAGTATGACCTTGCAAGCATAATAGAATCTAACGGGTGCGGCAGAATAAACAGCGGTCTCATTATTTTTCTAATATCTCAAAATTTTTTTAGACATCTCAAAACAAACTTTTTTTTATCATAATATTCAGCTTTCAATTCTCTACAAAACTATATATTTCTTTTAATTAAAACATATCCCATAGGTTTTTGACAATCAATACAAACAATTCTTCTGATATGTGCAACTTTCTAATTTAGAGTTTTGTTGAAACTGTCTTATCAAACTTATTGATTATTCCAAGTTCTTATTGACATGAGGCAGCAAACTTTCGTTGTACCATCATTGAGTTAATCAATGGTAGGTAAGTTTTACTAAAATGTTTGAATTTTCACTTAGTGCTCTATAACTTATTCCTATGATTCATGAGAGTGAAGATATTTCTTTGATTTCAGAGACATGAAATTACTGTAGTCCTTAGGAGTACATGAAAATCTTTTTAATCTTATGTAAAACCATCACTCAATATTTTGCTCAATGATGATACAACAACAGTGTGCTGCCTCATGTCAATAAGAACCTGGAATAATCAATAAGTTTGATAAGACAGTTTCAACAAAACTCTAAATTAGAAAGTTGCATATATCAGACGAATTGTTTGTATTGATTGTCAAAAACCTATGCAGTATGTTTTAATTAAAAGAAATATATAGTTTTGTAGAGAATTGAAAGCTGAATATTATGATAAAAAAAAAGTTTGTTTTGAGATGTCTAAAAAAAAGATTGAGATATTAGAAAAATAATGAGACCACCGTTTATTCTGCCGCATCCATTATATTAAAATACTCGATTTTATATGGAAAATTTATTGTATTTTTTGGAGGTCTGAACACTGCTGCCTATATCCTCTAGTTCTTCTTCCAGAAAAAAGGTTATATATACATATATATATTTATACAATCATTTATATATGTATCTGTATAAACAAATATAAATGATAATATAAATATGTATATGCCCCACTGGAAAAAAGCAAAATTTCGGTATCCTGAAGTATGACTGAAGTGCAGTGAAGTATCAATGTAATACTGTACTTCGTTCGTAGTTCTCAACATTGAAATCTCGCTTTTTCCACTTGATATACTCCCATTTTTCAGATGCGTCCACTATCAGACATTAGAAGTATTAATAATCATTTATTGTTATATATTAATAATTCTGAATACTGTCTATATCCCTTGTTTTTGTATTTGAGGAGTAGAGAGTATTGGAAATATATAGACATAATCACATATATTCATAAATTATTACATATATAGGCATGCTCAACCATAGAGTGACACAATTCTCCTTTGCTTATGTAGCTTCAATCAGTTATCAGAAAAATGTGATTTTTTTACCAATTATAGTATACAGATGATGCTAATGATCTGTTATTGTTTGAGCTCTAGGGTGTGGGCGTGGGGTGCGAGTTTGGAAGGGCGTGTCGATGCGGAAATGCGTGTTGTTGTGGGTGTGAGTTTGTTTCAAGAAAAGACTCACATCCACACGCACCCATTGAACAGAAATACCTTTCCGTATTTCCTCTCATGTCTCTGCCAGCATATTAAGATGTGGAAGTGCGGTAAGTCGGACGCAGATAGACCTAATTTCGATAGATCTTGTTTTGTTCGATGGAATAGTATATTTCGGTTTACCAACACTCATGCTCGAAATGTGCTTCTGTAAGCTGATCTACTATCGAGGCCAATTGAATTTCTCCTCTTTGTTTTTTTTCTTCTTTTTATTACTATATTTCGTTTATTTATCGATCTACTATATACAGCGAGAAAGCCCGGAAGTCGCTACATCTTTTTATATATTTACGTTGAATATCAAATGTAGTTTAAAGTGTAAAAAATGTGTTAAAAAAAAAGTGACATTTTTTTACTACAATACCGAGTGTCCATAATACTGTAACATTTTTTATTTCACATATATCTTGGCTTAGATAGAAGATCAAATCTTGAATTTTTTTTCAAAGGATGCGCTGTGAAAAGCTCTATAAAACCTGCATGATTGAATTACAGATACCCTGTTCTAATGGTTTTTCTTATACTCAAAATGAACAACTTACATGACAGTGTCACATCCCATAATATTGAAAATGTTTGGAATACTTTTTGTTTTGCATATATCTCGACTTGAGAAAATGATAGAATATTGAATTTTTTTAAAAAGATGTGTCGTCGAAAGCTCTACAAAAACTGTATGAACCAACTCATATAGTGAAACAAAAAAGTGCTCTAAACATTTTTAATAGTATGGGATGTGACACTGTCATGTAAGTTGTTCATTTTGAGTATAAGAAAAGCCATTAGAACAGAGTAACTGGAATTCAATCATACAGGTTTTATAGAGCCTTTCACAGCACATCCTTTGAAAAAAAATTCAAGATTTGATCTTCTATCTAAGCCAAGCTATATGTGAAATAAAAAATATTACAATATTATGGACGCTCGGTATCGTAGTAAAAAAAATGTCACTTTTTTTTTCTAACATATTTTTTACACTTTCAACTACATTTGATGCTCAAAGTAAATATATAAAAAGATACAGCGCGCTTCGGACTCTCTCACTATATATAGTGGATTAATAAATAAAAGAAGTATAGTAAGAAAAACAAAAAACACAAAGGGGGTGAGAGCGAAATTCATTTAACCCCGATGTATTTTCCTAAGTACCACAATTTACACATGTTGATGGTTAATAAACACTGCATAAAATTTAAGGACAATGAATAATCAATGGAAGAATAAATTGAATATAGTAGATAGAGAAACCTACGACAGTAGCTTTTCTAGCTTGTGTTAACAGTTCCTATCAAGAATATCATGAAAAGAGTGCGAAATCTATGAATTGAAAATTATTGAAAATCAAAATATTTAATCTTTTTCTTTGTGTAATTCCATAGGTCAAGAAATACAAACAGGTGTTAGGAGACCTTGTATGAATGACACTGATCACTTTGAGTTATTCGAATAAATTTTACAAACTTGTTGATTTGTTAGAGTAATTAGTTTCTTGAGTAAATATTTAAAGAAGCTCTATTATAGGTTCATGAAATTTGTCATTAGACAATCAAGATGCAAGAAACAAAATACGACATTTTAATTTTATATTCATGTCGATCTCTCTATAAGAAGACTGTTATTTATATAGTGGCGAGTTGGGCACATATGTATTTACTGCCAAAGTACAAAGTGACAAAAACAAAACAATTAAATACAATAAAAATAAAGTTAAAGATATTTTTTTATAGTTATTTTTGGGCACTTTAAACGCCACAAGAAGCTCTATCGCAAGATGAGAGCTTCGCACCCAAAACAAAAGAAAATATATAGAAAAAGCAATAAACAGACTAAATAAAGAAATAACTAAGAAGAAAACTGCAATATTCATTATGAGCTTTAAGAATTACAGTGTCACTAACACGGATGTAACATAAATAAGACAACGAATTCCAACAACCTAGGGTTTTTATTAAATGATCAGGAACACCAGCCGTCGCTGCAGATGTAGCTGCTTCTACTAATAGACTATGTTCACTATAAGCAGAAGCTTCATAACCTAATTGAAGCAATAAATGTCTTAAATTGAAGATAAAAGCACGACGAGTTAATGCTTGACCGTTGGGTAAAAGAAAGAAAGGAGAATCATGATTATTGCCGTTGCGAAGAAGAGTAAAATAATTTAGAGAATGAACTGCACAATTAATAGATCCGTTTTTAAACAAACGAATATTCGGTCCTCTCCGTTCTATATGAGTTTTTAATAATTTTTAATGAATAATAATACAGTTTATATCACATTGAATATCAGCTTTTGTAACATGTAAGCGTGGAGAAAATTTATCAGGAAATAATTCACCGGATCTGAAGAAACTCCAAAATGCGGTAGTAAGTGCTGCTTGCATTAATGTATTGAGATAAGGATTAAATATACCGCATCGTAATACACCAATTAATTTGTTTAGAATATCGATGGTAATAGGTTTGCATTGTATGGTGGATACAAAATCTAAACGTCGTGCGCCTTTAAGAATCATTTCAATTTGTGGTAGTTTATAACTACGCATATCTAAAAATGGATCAGAAAAACCAGCACGTAAACGATAAAGACAAATAGCAGCTAAGTAAGAGCGAATTGTAGAATATCGAATGTTACGAATACCATGACAAAATGCTATAAAACGTAAAATAGGATTATGAGGTAAACGATAAGAATGCATGTTCAAACCGGATATAACTGCAAAACGAGTAAAAAGTTGATAACCAGAAGAATATGATGTTTTCGAAGTTGAAGAAATAGCATTATTAAATAAATTAGTTACAATACTATCGATTCGATTGATGGAAAGGTTAAGTCTTTCATTGAAGGAACGTTTTTCGGATATCGATCGGCGGTTGGTAATAGTTGACGAAAGCGATTTATCTGTAAACGAGAGAGAGCATCTGCTAAATTATTTTCATATGTAGAAATATAAACAGCTCGCAATAAAAATTGATGTTGCATAGCAAGTAAAGTTAATCTACGCGTAAACTCCATAGTAAAAGAGCTTTTTGATTGACCTTTATTAATTATGTTAACTGTAGCCTGGTTATCACATAAAAGACAAATTCGCTTCCTCTTCCATTGAGAGCCCCATAAACAGCGGCAATAAAGATAGGAATAATCTCAAAAAATGCTGTTGATTTTTCATTTTCTGGAAGATTAAGCATTTGCTCAGAACACCGGTGAGCAAACCACTTATTCCCAAAAACAGCACCACATCTGACAGTTGTACTAGCATCCGTAGAGAAAGCCAAATCAGTATTGATGAAAATATTAAGACCAAGAAAGAAAAAAAGTTCCGTTCCATTCATGCAAATGTCGATATCACATTGTTAGCGCGAGTTGGGCTTGTTGAGTAATGGTAATATGTGATTATAGAGATCGAACATAAGTGGTCAAGTTGAATAAATAATGAACAAATGTTCTGCCTGGAATAACAGCCCTGGATGCAAATAACGTGTGATCTAGGACAACTAGTAATTCACGTTTTTTACATTTACGTCGATTAAGTAAAGATCTCATCATTTCCATGATACGTAATACATTTTCTTGAGGTAATCTCGCCTCCATGCGATTTGAATCAAGAATAATACCTAAATATTCAATTTCTTGAACAGGACGGACGGTTTTATTTACTGATAAAGGAATTTTAAGCCGATTGAAAATAAAACTAACCATGGCAAATGTTCGCTCTCCACCATCATCAGGACTGTCTACTATAAAAAAGTCATTCAATAAATGTAACATGTTTTTAATACCATAATTATGTTCAGCAATCCAAAAAATAGCTTCACTTAATCTGTCAAATAATTTAGGTGAACTAGGCGAACCAAATGGTAAGCATACAAAGAAATAATAATTATTATTCCACTTAATGCTGTAGAAAGGCCATAGAGATTGTTTAATGGGAAGCAATTTAAAAGCATCTTGAATATCAGCTTTATTCATCCAGGCACTCTTTCCTAAGTTCTGAATACTTTCAATAGCATCATCGACAGTAACAAATGATAGAGAACAGGAATCTTTATCGATTAAAGAATTGATACTTGGATGGTCTTTATCATTATGAGGAGCAGATAAATCAACAATTAAACGTTTCTTTTTTGAATATTTCGATTCAACCAAACCAATAGGATTTATTCCATAACTAAAAAAGATGCAGAGTTGTACGGACCGATTAGGAAACATTTGTTAAGTTCTTCCGCCACTAAACGAGTAACATTTTCAGGATCACGGTGTGTTGATCGTAAATTGGGGTATTCTAAAGGTTTATTAGGTATGTTGGAGATACCAGTATCAAAACATTCGCGGAAGCCTGATAACAAGAATGAAGTAAATTTCTTATCAGGATGACCAGCTAATTCTTGCTCCAATCCGCAGATATCAATTGGCGTAGTTGCTACCAGAGGAATGCTCATAGAGCAACTGATAACTATAAATAAAGGATAATTAGAGCAATTATAGCAAACATAATTCAGCGACTCATATTATAAATACGTTAGTTCAATTTAAATGAAAAAAAAACATACTCTATTAGAGAATCCTTGATTTTTATAAAATATTTCTATATTTATTATATTATTCGTACTTGTAGGAGTATTTAAACTTATTTTTTAATAATTATTATTAATATTATTAATAGCAGCAGTACAGTTCATATGTATTTTTTTCATAGCAGCAATACAGTTTATATATAATGTCAATTTATTTGATATTACACAATTTTCTGGGGTGTGTACCTCGACAACGAGAACATAAATGAAGAAAACGACAATTCGGTTGAACACATTTTCCGAAACCTGCTCCATTATAAAATTTACAGGTAGAACCAGAATCTTGCTTAATATCATCACTACCTAAAACTTGACGAAAAGAAACTCTTGATGATGTTGAAAATGGAAAACGATCGTGATTTTCCGATAACATTTTTTCGATTAAATCATTCCGATTGAGTATTTTTTTACAAAAAGATGTGGAATGGTCTGGACTTCGACATAAATCACAAACCATTGGTTGTAATTCAGAGAAGACATTAAAATAAATATCGTGGTCTAGTTTGGACTATCGATCAAAATGTTACGTGTTTGCAAGAGAGTTTCAGCTTTTTGAGCAAATAAACGGTGGTAATGATAGAAAAAAAGGATGGCCGAACCGAGAAGATAAACAAATTATATCACGCAAATAAGCTGTTAATTCACGACGTCGTTGAGGAAAAAAATCACCGATGATATTTAAATAACGTGTAAAAGCTAATATAAATTCAAGAATAGTAAGGTTTTTATGTAAACGATGATCATCCTTTTGTTTAAGATAAACATTTTTGTCTTCATCAACATCATCATTACGATTATATTTTTTGTTGTCTCGAAGAAGAAGAAGACGAACCAAATTAACATTATAACCTTCAATAATAGCTTTTCTTAAACCTTTCGGAACAGTTTCAAGGTCACTGTTTTCTCGTACAGATGGTCCATTACTTCCAAAATGTAAGTTCTCTTCAGCCGTTGAAGCCGAAAACGATATAAACGGCTTACCAGAATTGTTATTAATGTTATTTGTTATTTCAGCTTGATGAGAAAATTCGTTTGATATTTTTGGTTGAGGAGCAATAATAAGGTCTCCTTCTTCATCTTGTGTATCGGCTGGAGTCATTTTGTTATAATTAATATTAATATCATCAATTTGATGTGTATCATCATCCGAAGAATCATCAGCCGATGCAGCATGTTGATTATGATGAGCTTTAGCCATTGCTGATGCAATTGTAAGTTTATTCTTCTTTTTCTTTTGTTCTTCGATAATATTAGTTTCATATAACGGACGTAATACATCAGTTTTTATACCAGTTGGAATTAATATGCCTATTTCAGCTAATGAGTCAATAAGATGTTTACGAGACACTTTTGCAACCTGATTATTGTTTGTTATTTTTGATGCATTTGGTTTTGTATGCTTCCGTTTTACAACAGCATTATTGGATACTCGCTTTGAAAATTTAGATTTTTCCTTGAATTGCACAATGATGTTGGACTATGGCATTGTAAATGGATTCAAAGTTTAACGACAATATTGCAAACTTGAAATACTGATTATTAAAAAGTTTAACTTGAATAAATGTTGAAGTTTTAACAAATTAAACAAGATTATATGAATAGCTTTTCACTGAATTAGAGCACGAGAAGATGATAATGAAATAACACCTTAGCTACACATGATAATGAACTTCCAGCTGAAACGAGCGCTACATTGAAACAATAGAAAAGATAATTATAAAAAAAGATAAGTCGAGCCTACATGAATCTTCTTTAATGTCTCATTATCTCGCCATTAAAGAGTTAATCAATATGAGCTTAGATTTTGTTTATGACATTCTCAGATCCAGTAATAATACTTAATCAACATGTTATTGAATGTTTTATTTTTATCGTTTAATAAATTTAATTTCATTTTACATTGAATGAATCAAGGAGAAATCAGTCCAAATCTTAATACATATACGAAATGATATTCAATAATTATAAATCTCCATAAAGGAAGAACGAAAATAAACATTCGTCGTATATGAATACATATATACATATAACGACATCATCATCACATTAAAATAGACAAAAATCTGACATCAACTTGAATCATAAAATTCGCTTTCAACTAATTTTTCTCGAAATAATATATACCAAGCTATAGTATGTTGATTTAATGTTAAATTATCAAGTTGAATAAATGCTTCACCAATACATTGATTTTTTTCAAATTTACCACCACGTTGCCATACTGTTACTTGAAGACGACGACCTGAAATAGTTGATTTTTATTTTTAATAGTTCAAAAGAAAATTAGTATTTTTTTTAAAACATATTTACCCATAACATTGCATGCATTATATTTTAATTTTGAATGATATTCTGGATTATAACTTCCTTTTATAATAGCTGTTTTACGTTTTTGTACGCGTCGTGTACCCGTTCGAAGATATCTATTAACGAATAAATTATTCATAATAAATTCAAAGTCCTATACGAAGTTCTTCTTCAAGTAGCATAATAACTTCGAAGGATTGATATCGTATTATTGGATCCAAAGAACTTAACATTAGGATCTATGTTTACTTTTAGGAATCGTTTTGATTCTATAGAAAATGTTTTTCTTGTTGTATCCGTTAATTGAAACAATGTAGAAGGAAATCAAATTATTCAAAGTTAGTTTAAAGAGACGACAGAAAATATTTAGTTAAAAGTATAGAAACCTCGAGAATAAAAACAACTTATCACAAAAGAAGATGCTCTCATAAAATATTTAGTGGTACAAGTAGCTTCACAAAGACACCTTTCTATAGTGGGGTAACAAGAAGATGACGATTAGTAGGACAGTGCTCTGCAAATTTGAAAATAATCTATGAAATAACAATGTCAATCATAATAACTATTATGTTTTTCTTTCTTGTGGTGGTAAGACAACACTCAGTCTAGTTTTTCGTTGATTACGCTCCTCTTTTCTTCTAGATTTGAGTGTATGTTCGTTGGTTGTCAGTATCAATTTATGAAAATTCATTCAGTCTTTTCTTCTTCTCTCAAAACAAAGCTGTTCGTGCAATTCCTGTGAGATTACAATGTGAAACACGACATACCTGCTGTTAATAATCATAACGAGATTGTTTTATTCGATTTATTCTGGGATAAATTTCTTCATCATTCTTTTACTTAATCATTCAAAAATACAAATTAAGAAATAGTTTATATATTATAAAGGGACGTTACTCATATACTGTCTTTTATCATATATCAACAATTTCTGTCACACTGTGTGATGTGAGATACTGTGAGTTTTCACCCTTTATCCTGCAACATTCTGTCTAGACTGTGTTTCATAAAAGACAACTTTTGTTTAAAAAAAATCGAAATTAAGATAAATACATGTAAGAATCATTTGAGAACTAATCTTTCATAATCAGAATAGTTTGTTGAGTTGCGACTTATTTTTTAATATGATTTTCGATGATTCCTATCATCTTCTTTGAAAAAAAAAATGGTTTTTCGTACGCATCGATTTCATTGACACGTATATGGTAAAATATGGATTTCGGATGAATTCCAAAAAATTCATCTCAGGAAATTTTCCTAAGTTTCAAAAAAACTTTGCGAATATTAGAGAGACATTAACTAGCTTATAAACAATTAATAGAGTTTCAAGTACTAAAATATTGTAAAATTTCAATTTAAAACATTTTTATTTGCTTTCTCTGTTTATGCGTTTTTAAAAGTGCACATCCTAGAATTGTCACACGAGCTTCAAGTAGTGCACTTTTTTGTTTGTTTTTAAAGAATATGTCACGATGCAGGTCATGACTGAGTTCTTTTTTTCTGAATAATTCATTGCTTTTATCATATATACAAGCTCTTCTATAAATAGACCTCTATTTTTTAAAGTGTTCTTTACACGTTGAACTTGTCATTTTTTTCTTACACATGAAAAGTAGGAGAATAAAAAAAAAGGTTCTTTCAAACTGTGCATCTTGACATGCTATTTCAAAGAAAACAATTAAACATCTAGTATGAGAGTCTACAGAGAATTCTAAGTTATCAAAAATACTATTTGCTTGGTGAAAATCTCTCGCAAACATCCTGAGATAGAACTGAAAATTATTCTCTAGCTTTTTCATTATAGTCCTAATATATTTTGAAAATTTCAAAGAATTTGAATGTACAAGACACTAAATCAGTCTTAAAAGGATAGATTCCTCATGAGAATATAACATATGAGTTCCATGCGATTTATCAAATCTTCTGAGCTTGACAAATCCACTTAATCTCTCTTAATATAATGATTTTGTTACATAAACAATCAGTTATGTTGCGGTTTTCCACTAAAGCTGTAAAAAAGTGACCTCTGAAACCTTTAATAGCATTAAAAAGAGTTAATAAACAATTTTCTTCTTAGAAAAAATCTTTTCTAACTGTTTCCTTAGCATCTTAACATAGATACAGGTGATTGGAAAGTTTTTAGACAAGGTTTTTATTTGCTGTTGATCCACTAAGAAATATTTCTGATGAATCAAAACTTATCAGTTTATGATCAAGCTCTAGTGCTCTTTTCGAATATAAGCTTAGAAATTTTGTTCGAGAGCAGTGAAATCCTTTTTGAAAAAACAAAAGATTTAGTTCGTACGCAAAATTATTGTTTTTTCATTATTTTGATTCTAAACTAAAAGATTGAATCTTTATTTATATATCAACTTGTACATCAGAAACTACCCTAACAAATGCAGTATTTCACGTGTCTTTTGTCCTTTCACAAGACACCTCAATTTTCGTTTTTCCTAAATACTCATTTTTGAAAAACTGGCAGCCGTTTTTACGTTGACAGGAGCTTTTGAAGAAATGCTTGCAACGGCACTTAAGTAAAAGCTACAGCTAAGTTCCGTATCACATTTTGTAGAGATGTGTTTGCTCTACCAAATGATTGATTCCAACAATTTTTAGCATGTTGGAAAAGAGACTTACAGGGTATACAAAAACCTATTGGCTCACGACTAAAAATATCTTTTTTTTAAATCTTTCAAAAAGTTTCTTACTACTATTGAATAAACTTAAACACAACATTTTGAAGCCCAACATCGGAAACGTTGGCCCACATCAAACCCATATTTGAGAAGAGTGAAAAATTCTGATTATAACTCATAACTTTGAACTCGTCGCAAATATTTTCAAGCGAATCAAAAGTGAACAAACATCTTGTCCAAAAAAATTTTGTGATCACCCGTTTGAAGTATTGTTGATAAAGTTGTTTTCTGTGGTATACTTTTTTTTCTTCTTAATATTTCAAACTTATGTGTCTTTTTTCAAAATATTCTGTTGTCAAACAATAATATACATTCCAATTTAATCTCGATAAATAAACATAAAAATTGTGATCGTGACTAGGTTTCACGATTAGAAGGAATACAGGAAGCTTCTCCCGTCATAGTGGCTGACTTTCTACGAAAATTCATAATATTTCCTGCTAATGTTTAGTTTCGTGGCTACTCTGAATATAAATTAGGTTTTCAAATATCATTTTTTTTCTTCTAACAGAAAATGAAATAAAAATAAATAGGCAATGTCTTCGTGGGATGAATACGACCGAATCGAATTTCGGAAGAGAAACGGTCTGGTTGTAAGTCGTCTATTATACGAGAGACTGGGTTATAATGAGTTTTGTTCTACCACTTGGTCAAGACTTCTTGCATTCTAGATTTTGAAACTACTTTCTGCTGATTTTTTATGCCCCTTCCATCCTTAAAAAATATAGACAATCCCGATAGTAACTTACGTTTTAACATATGTATCAGGTGGTGTATCTTCAATTTTGACTCCATTATTATTATTATTATCACCACTTTCATCAATAATTCGTTCTAATCCTTTTGCAGATATAATATCAATTTCTAAAAGACCTTTTGTAACAATTAAGCCAAGTTGAATTTTTCCCATATTTATATAATCATGAATCATGTTTTCATAATTTCTTGGTGTTACTTGTCCTGGACCAACAGTATGTGTTTGAACATTACTATTATCATTTATTTGTTCTTGTTGTTGTTCTGATAATGTGAAATATCTATCGATATCATCATCACTATCAAAGTTAGATGTAGCTGATGATTTTCTTGAACCTGATATAGATGAATGTCGTGATGATGGAATATAAGGTAACATTAATTGTCCAATAGGCATTTGTTGTAATGGAATAGGACGTATTAATGTTTGTTGTTCATCTTGATTTATTGTTGATATTACACTTTGACGTGGTGATTTATTTATATTAGTAGATGTATTATCTAATGTAAGACCAACAGATATATCAATATGATGATCTTTATCAATATTTGTCTGTATTTGTGATGATAATTTTCGTGATGCTGGACTTTTTGGTGAATCCGGTGTTGATTCACTAAAACGTCTTGTGTGACCATCGAATAATTTTGATATTCCTTTTGATATTCGGCGTTTTAGTTTAGCTGATCGTATAGCTATTGCTGATTGACGTCGATGGCCATCTTCACTATCTTTATCATCATCAATATCAGTCATTATAATAGTTGGAATTGCTGAACCAGTTATATTGGCATGTTTAGAAGCTGTTTGTGTAGAAGAACTTCTTCGATTAAAATCAATTGTATTTGTTACCGAAGGATTTACTGTATGCATTGATGCATCTGTAGTTGTTTTTGTTTTTTCATCATGTTTATTTGATAGTAATAATGGTGGCATTTTACGACCACTATCAGCACTTTCTATTGAGGATGATTTAAATGTAACACTTGTTGCTGATGGTTTACGTGTTTGACGATCACGTAATTCATACCAACGTGGTTCATCTTCAAGATTAGCTTCATTTAATGGTAACTGTATCATACCGAGAAATTCATCGGATTCATCTATACTATCATTATTTGTTTGGTATTGTTTTTTATCCCAAAGTAAAATTTCTAGATGAAGAACATCAACACTTTCAACTTCATGAAAAACAAATGTTTCATTATAAACTGGATTTGATGAATGAATTATTTTTGTTTCAAACATGTCAAAACCACGATCTTCAAATAGCATTTTACCAGTTATAAATGCATATGGTTGATCACCATTCGATCGTAAAGGAAGATTACTTGCTTGAATTATTGTTAAAGCTAATTTCAAATCGTCAACATCATGCCAAATTTGAGCTTGAAAGAAAAAGAAAAGATATTGAAATTGTTTTAAAGAAAATAGCTTTGATCATATTTTCAGAGATATTAGAATAGAGAATGCAAGTCACTATATAAATACGTATGATTAATTCAAACTTCGGATCGCTCTTTTGAACAATATTCTTTGTAATTTTCATCTTCAACGCAAATTTTATCACATATAAATTAGTAATTTTTTTCATAAAAAATTTTATGAATATAAAATGTGTTCCTCTTTTGTGAAAACACATCGATAGGGCTCATAAGTCTCAAGAGGAAATGCTTATTTACAGCAATATTGTAAACCCCTGACGTATTAGAAGACCCCCTAAAAAACAAAACCCCCCCCCCCCCCCCCCCCCATAATAGAAGATCCCCCTTGCTACATGAAGCAAAAGACATATTAGAAGACACCCTCACAAAATCAATTTTTATAAAATAATTTCTGGAACCTAGTGGTATTTTTTAGAATTTAAGTCCATAATGATGTCTAAGTTCAGTATTAACAATATTTTACTTTCGTCGTGATAACGATCTGTCAGTTCCAAGTTAGAAAAATCTTGAGAAACAGCTATTAGGAAGCAACTGTTTATAAAGTAATATTTTTTTTTTGAAAGCATATCGTGGAGTCATGGTAGTCCTTCTTTGCAGCTTACTCTGAGAAAATTCATTAATTTCTATATGCGGAAAAACCTTTCTATGACCGTACGATCTAGTGGGCCGAGTCCACATTTGCGAGTGTAGTACATGAAGGGATCTTTGTAAAATAGTGACATATTTGATAAAAATTTCTTTTTGTATTAAGTAAACAGCTTGTTCGTCTATAAACTTCTTCTAAAGGTTCAGAAACGTCTTTATTCTAAAACAGATTTTTATAGTTGAAGAAAACCTAACTTCACGTATATACTTCGAAATTTGTTCGGTGAGTACTTATGAGTCTGAGAACGAATTTCTTTTCTCAATACGACCCAAAGGCATTTTTCGAAACAGACATAAAAGAAAACACAGAATATGTATGCAACTGCTGTTTTTCTACAAACTGTTTCTTCAGAAGACAATCATATTCATCGAAGTTAACTTGTGATCAATAATTATGTTAGTGGTAGATTTCACCGGAACTAATTCCATCTGTACTAATCAAACATCAACATAAACAGTTGCCTTAAGTAAATTCGACAAAAAGAAGGTCATTTTCTTTTTTCAGTTATTTAGTTATTTAGAAGGTAAAATGTTGGCAATGACAATAGAATTCTTTAGAAAAAAGAATTCTATGGGACATTGTACCAAGATGTTAAAGAGTATTGCCTGTACTGTTCTTAGAGCACTTATTACTAACGATGACCTTCTTCCTTATTGCAAAGTAATATATGATTCTTTCTTATTCTACGCACGAGGAATAAATAAAATAAACTCGTTTACTAACGGTGTATTGGACAAAAATTGACTAGAACCAAAATTTGTTGGCGATACTGTCAAAAAATGGCTTTTTTAAAGGGACATATTAGAAGACCCTCCTTGTAACTTATGAACGATAAGACAAAATAGAAGATCTCGGGTCTTCTAATGTGTCGAGGGCTTTAGTAAAAGGTCGAGATGCACTAATACTAATATGTCAAATAGAACTATCATTCTATATGAATATTTGTGCTAACATTTACATAAAACTTTAGCTGCTTATGTGAGATTAGAATCTCTTTATATTTCTTTTTAGTTCTCTTGAGTGTGAGATTTTTCATATAAATTTAAAAGAAGATATTAAAATCTAAAATAACCAGAGAGAATAAAATCAACAAAGTTTCATTGTTTTATCGCGAAAGAAAATTTGAATTGTTGTAAACTTATTTTCAGATAAAGTTTCATGCGTCATTGTCCAACTATAGTAACGGTGACTTTTTATCCCGACGACGAATCGGCAATGTTTTATCAAGGGGCAAAAAAATTATCTTAATTCTCATGAAATTACAAGGACACTTGCAGTAAAAATTTGAAGATAGAAATTATAAGATAATAGTTGGTTGAAAAAGTGTTAATAACATTTCTTTTTTATGTCTTTCATTCTTTATAATTAAAATATTTTACCTAGAAGTCTTCCTCGATTAATTAAAATTGGTTTAAGTTCTTTAACATTTGGTACTTCAAGTGTTTCAACAGTTTCATATAATTCTTTTTTTTGCTGTTTAGGAATCGTTGATGATAATGATGGTGGTAGTGGCGGTAAATTTCTTCGTTTTCGCGTTAATGATGATGATAAACGTGGTACAGTTTCAAAATGTCTTGAAATTTCAATAGATGATAATGTTTGACCATTATTTATTTGTAATCTAACATTATTATGTTGAACAACTAATTGTACAATATCACCACAATGATCTTGTAAAATTCGTACTTCTTCATATGTTGATTCAATTAATGAATGTCCATTAAATTCAAGTATTTGATCACCTACTTCAATATTACCTTGAACATCAGCTGGACCACCATATAAAATATTTGTTACGAAACATCCTTAGAATAAAACAAAATAAATAAATATTTATTTTAAGTAAAGTAAAAACTAATATTCTACTAACCAAGACTACCATCTTCACATTCTTGTCCACCAACAATACGCATTCCAAGACCATTTGTTCGTATTGATGTATCATTTTTATCTCGATGAAGTAAAATTCGATGTGGATTTGATGGTGGTGTACGTGCACGTAGTTTTGAACTTTCTTCAGCATGTAAATAAATATTTTCACATGTTTCAATTGTTTTTCTACGGTCACCAGCTATTAAACCTGATCCAGATGATGGTATAGGTAAACCAAGTGTTGATGATGCATTTGTCATTGGTGATATTGAAGTAAATTCTATATCAGGATTACAACCATAACAAAACTCTTCTGATAAAGTTTGTCGACGAAGTTTAGGCGGTTTACTAAAAGAAAATTAAAGTATTAATAGATTAATCAAAAAAAAATTTTAATTTGGATAAAAATCATTCATCGAAAAAGTAAAGAATGAACTTTTTGACTATTAATCTACAAGTAGATCTTGAAAAAAAACTCAAAAATTTTTATCTCAAGCAAAATGTTCAGATGCAACAAAGGCTTTTATAAAGTCTATCACAAGAAAAATGGCTGTTTGTTTCATTTTCACCTTTTCAACGCAATATGATCTTCTGTCACAAATCTGCCATCTTTTTAGCAAATTAATTAAAACTTTGACTTCTTGCTCCATTTTGTAGAGTGCAGATTACCATTAAGGATTATATTCTTAAAGAATTTATTTGATATCTACAAGAAGCGACTTGTCTTCAGAAAAATTAAGATTGTTGCTTGCAAAGAAACTCTTTTGAGTCCTAGAAAAACTAACACAAGTACGATTCACTTTTTCCAATGCATTTAAATATGCGAAAAATAGTCAAATATTCTATTTAGAAAGTCTCGGATCATCCCACAGTCTATGATGAATATGTAGGAAATGAAGTTTTATTTATTAAACATAACGTTTTTTTTTATTCATTTGTTGATTTAAAATTTAAATCTAGAATTTGAAAAAGTATCTCATATTGTCTTGAAACTCTTATGATTTAAATAATTTTTATTGACAAATATTTTATTAGCATTTTAGGAAAATCGTTTGATACGAATAATAGTCGAGAAATTTATGGTGAAACCTAAAAGAAACCATCAATGTAGACAAATAAGTTAAACTAACACCAAAAACAATGGACGCTATTAGTAAAGTGAAAATCATAACAAAGCAGCACATATTTCTCTAATATACGTATGATATGAACCCGAGCTTGTTTTTAAAGTTACAATTATTAGACACACAGATTTTCATGAAATTATATCAAAATTAATTCTGATGAAAAATTAAACCAAGAAATAAATCATTGTAAATATTGTATACATTTAACGTCACTAGATTATGCAGTCGAATGTAACATCTTTTGTAAAAAGAAAACTGTTAGCACAATTCCTACGGGATTAAAATGTGACACACAATGTAGTTGCTATTGCTAATCATTGAAAGAATGTTTTGTTCTATCAATTTTGAGAGGCATTTCTTCAGCATCCTTTTACTTAATGATCAAGAGGTGCAATAAGAAAATAATTCTTATATTATGATGAGACTTTATTAATAGATGCTTTTTGATCATATATCAACAGCATCTGTGACGTCTATGATGACTCATTACCAAGATGTTTGTCATGTCTATAAAAAGGAACTAAATTTTTTCTTTTATAATTCAACACAGTTTTTAGAGCATGTTTTACAAAAGAAAGTATCCATATGTTAATTATTAGATACTAAAGTTTGCTTGAAAAAAAGCTGATCAAGTGGTAATGAGTAAGCTGTTTTGACATATGGTTTATGTAAAATATTATTTTACTTTAAAAAAAAAGGTAAATTAGCTTTAATAGTAACCAGATGCTTAATGGTACTACAAACTCACACTCTTTTTCTCGCAAACATGAAAGAGTTGAGAAAATAACATATATTTTCTTCTTTCTTTTTTTCTGCTTCTTCAAAGTAATAATGTTTAAGAAAGTAGTAGGCATTCATTTCTGTTTTTACAGGGTGCTATTATAAAAATTAGAAGAATTACACATCATTTCTAAACTGATATTTTTTTAATATAATGCGCAGTTGTAGACTTTCGTTTTTATTATATTAAATTTTTCGACTATTATTTGTATCGACGAATTTTTTGCTTTTTCGTATTATTCAGTTCAATTTTGTTCTCTCGTCTCAATTGTGTTTACAATTCATAGAGTATATTTCAGATTCGCTATTGATCGATGAATTCTGCCTTAAAAGCCCGAGTCGATTATAATTTGATTATTATGAGATCGTCGTCAAAGTCTTTTGAAGAATGTTAGACTATACTAATTAGTTACCGAATGCAAATCATGGAAAAATAAAAGGGCTTCGCTTCTTTGAAATGATAATTAGATTCAGAATAAAAAAAAACAATTTTCATAAAAATGTTTAGAATATAATTTTCAGGTCTCACTTCAAAAATTCTGAATCTGATGAACTTTACTTTGGTAAACTTTCAATTTTTTTCGATATCGTACATTTTTATCGGGAAATCATATTCTGGAAACTAATTTATTTATATAAGGCTTCAATACATTTCTTATAGAATTAAACTATGGAATATAATCGAATAATGTTAATTTGAAAAAAAAAGAAATGGAAATAAACAATACGAATATATTTTATATTGTAGAGAGTTACCTTAATGCGATTTCGATGCTATTATCTTGTCTAATAATTATTTTTCTTGGTACTTTTGGTACATGTTCACGTTCAAGACTTAGAGAAAAATTTTCTCCTTGTTGTTTAGATATTTTTGCATATAACATACGTTGTCGAACAATATCAGATAAATCGGGTGCTTTACGTACAATACATGGATAATCAAGTGAACGTTGTGGTAATAATGTATTATTAACAATAAGAAACGATTTTCGTCGTGTTAAGTTTGATAAATCAACTGATTTAGTATTTTGTGATTGATGTGTATGTAATAATTTTGTATGTACTAAACGAGATGCTAATGATGAATCTGAATCAGTACTTTTTGAACAAGTTGAACGATTACAAGGAGAATTTTCATGTATAAGTTGAGATTGTTGTTCATGTGTTGTATATAATGATGATGATGATGGTAGTGGAAATTCAATTTCTTCTATGCGATTTGTTTCATCATCATTTGATGAGATTTTACAATTCAAAGGAATTTCTGGTAAACGACGAGAAGAATGTCGTCGACGTAAAACTACATTTGATGAATCAGATTTAGTATTTGTTTTTGTTGAAGATGACGATGAATTTTTTTGACCTGTATATGTTAAGGAGTTCGTTGTTAAATTTGATAAAACTGTTGGATTGTGTATGCTATTATATCGATTATTATTATTATCATTATTATTTGCTATCGATTCTACATCATCCAATGTAGTTGTCCATTGATAATCGCGATGCATTAATGTTCGTTTACGTGCCCATGTATCAGAATTTCGAACATCTGCATGATTTGTTCGTTCCTGATTATTATTATTATTATTATTATTTGGTAATGAAAAATCTTCTGTTACTGAGGGTGTCGTTATTATTGGAGTAGAAAAGTAGTCCATTGCCTGTAGAAATATAAAAGAATATTTTTCAGTGTAAGATTATTTTAAAATAGAAACCATGAATGAATGATTTATGTCACTTGAGAGTATTTCTCATTTTTATATATGAAATGACAAAATGCTTTTTGATGTGTGCCAGACAACTACAACATGTTTTATGTCAAAATCTTGATTATCTTTACATGACTATAGGTTGAATATAGAACGGAAAGAACGAATACTAATCTTAGATGATCATATAGAACGATGTACATACAGGTTATCTCTTGTTATAATTTTTTTCTCTTTTATTTCTATTCTGTATTTATGTGAATGTTCTAATAAAAACATCTTCACATTTTTTCAACTCCTTCTCTTTCTGCACGTACTAGTCGTAAGTTACTTTCATCTATAGAGAAAACATTAAAAGAACATTATTAAGTATAACTAAGTACTTGCTAGCCAAATGATTAGATATGTAGGTCTATTTATTTAACAAAGAATAGCGTTCTTATAAATATTTGAAATATTCTTTTTTGTAGAAGATGATTATAGAACTTACCATACTAACATCAATATTTGCTTCAGGTGAATTGAGACTATTACTATGATGTTGTTCAGTCATTTGCAATGGCAATGAAGATATCTTTTGTACTGATTGTATCACAGATTTTGCTGATAAACTTAAACGACGATGTCGTTCGTCATATGTTAATCCTTGTTGTTGTTCAGAATTTTCTTCATCAACAATTTTTGGATTACTACCATCGATGTTTGTTTCAAAACTTTGAGAATAAAATTCACTAGCTGTATCATATGGTTGTTCTGACGTTGTATCTTCGAATGAAGGATCTGTTATTATACTTGATGTTGTTGGTTGTGGTTGAAATGGTACTGGTGGTTGTACTAATGGTGATGAAAATTGACATGATTGTGTTGGATTTTTTGATGATACGTCACGTATGAACGATATGCGATTATTTGATCTAAGCGATGATGATGGAATAGATGATACTTCAGTAAGTGTCGGCGTTGGCTCCGGTATATGATCAAATGATGATGAATTTATTTCATGTGAAGCCAATAAAATTTGTGATGGTGTTTCCTGATGAATATGAGGACGCCATAGACGTGTGAAAAAATTCGTTGATTCACTTAGAATAGTTGATTTACGTTCATTTTGTGGTGAAGGTGATGTTGATGAAGATACTGGAGTCGAGCCAGTTGATGCACGAAAAGCTGATAATTTTTGTAATAAACGTACAGGTGAATGAATTGGTATTTCATCGTCAGTAGCATTCCAAGAACCTCGAAAAAGATTCATTTTCAATGTTGAATGAAAGGAAATGGGAAGAAAAGTGATGATGATAAGAGTGTGAATAATGAGACATTTTTTCTGATGATTATGAAAAGAAAAAGAAAAAAAAAAGCAAAAAAGAAAAAAAACCCTAGTCGAAACTGTAATTTATTCATTCTGTTTCTCTTCTTCTTCTTCTTCTTCTTCTTCTTTTCAACAAGATTTACACATTTGAATAATTTTTTTTATATATTGAATAATTGTAATTAATTTTTTTACTGAAGAACGTACCAGATTTCCTGATTACTTCACGACGCACAATACACATTCGACAACGCCATTTGGATGTATGAGTTTGATTTTCAAAATTATTTCTATCTGATATATTAATGAGTTCTGGTGATGTATAATTACCACAACGTCGACAAACAGGTCGATGACAATCTGTACATAATATAGGTGGTGAAGAATTAAAATCCTTCGTTTGTACTTCAATATTTGAATAACAAATATAGCATTGAACAATATCAGATGATGATAATACTATTTGATTTTGTGGTATAGGTGATGAACTTTGTGAATTAGTTGATGAAAAATGTCGTTGTCGTTGATGATCATTTTGAATTGTTTGTTGAAGGTGTACCATTGTACGACGTAAACCAGATAAACATTGATTTTGTTCATTTTCAATAAGAACTTGTTTTTGAAGAACAATTTCTAATTGATTGAGTTCATCAGGTGAGAGTGAAGAAAAATCAGGAGATGGAGGTCTGATGATTGGTTCTGTTAGCGCTGTTGCCTGAGGCTGCATGTTGATGCGAGTCGGTAGCAACGTCACACCCACTTGATAACATCAGCATCAATATGCTTCAACTCTTGAAGATGCATTCAGATGAACGAGCTCGACTGGCTCTCTACTTATTTTTCCTCTCTCTCTCTCTCGCTTCTCTCGTTCTTGAAGCGTAATTTGAAAAAAAATATGTCGTATTATGAGTGACGCACGGCATCGTTCTCGAGAGAACTGAAAAGATTCTCTTTTCTCGTTGCTGTGTTCTCAGAATGCTGATAGTAGTGCGTATCTGTAATGAACTCACATACGCATAGCATAGACACAAAAGATTGGGCGTTAGCTATCTCTATCATCTTTCTTTTTTTTTTTCTTCAAACATGAGACTAACGACAGCAGTAATAATGATGACAACCATTGGAAACCGAAGAGAGAGGCTTTCTTTTCCGCTCATGTCTATCACTATATCTGTCATTATTATTGTTACTAAAAGAAATGTGGATTAGAGAAATTTAGTCTATTAACAAGACAATATTATCAAATCATAGCGCAATGAAACGAGTTTTCCACTTGACTGAAGTTGAATATGAATATGCTTTATTGGAATATGAGTATAATTAGCAAAAAGAATTTTTTTTGTGTCAATTTACAAATAGTATGTCAAGAACAGGGATATATAAATGTAACAATCATAGAGGTCAAAAAATAAAATAAAAATAGAATATGTAATCAGAAATTTGTTGGATTGGAAAATCAAAATTTTTGTATCATAATCTTCGACAATGAGAAAGACAATAAATTTGTAACAACTGCTAATCATGACAATGTCTAAGAAAACAATTATTAATAATTGATTATTTGTTTAATAATATATTCAAAGTAAAAAAACGTTTTTTTTTTTATTTTGTGACTTTCTGAGATAAGGTGTTCTACTTGTAAAAAATAATAATTACTTTCAAGGATTTTACTACCTGAAAAGACCTTTTGGGAGCGGAAATAATGATCAATATTTCACACCTCTTCCTTTTTACGTAGTTTTATCATAATTACTATTGATGACTGTCACTTTCCGTTCTAATCTAAATACTCAATATAGAATTAGATTTATTATTTAAACGTCAAGCATTATTTTTCAAGTTGAATTGCCGAAATGAATATGATGGAAATACAGATGCTTTGAAAAGATCAAAGTTAATGAAATGATTTGCACATGAAATTTAGCCTCTTTATCATGATATAGCTTTTATTGATAAAAAAGAAAAGAAAGAAAGCTTAAAGATATTACTCACAAGTAATTATCTTAAATTCAATAGAAAAGCCAAGGCTTTTACTAAGCTTCAACAATAATGCGTCATGATCCTTCTATAATTACTTCAATGTCATTTGCTTCTAGCAAAGATCATGAAATATTGTTTTGTATATACATATTTGTTATTTTTCAAAATAATGTGATCACCAATATAGAGATGAATTCACCATCCAGAAAGTGGAAATTCAATAGAATTCCATTGGGAAATCGAAGAGTTCAACATCAAGTAAAAGGCTATAAAATCCTTTATTGCTAGAGGAATTCAAGCGAGCAATAATTCCTCCCCATATTGATTTAGTTTGTTACATGCAATTGAAGAAATTTAAAAGCAAGAGAAGTACTACTGAATTTCCATTTTCTGGATAATTAGTATTGTTAAACTTTTAGATTGTAAAATAAATCTAATATAGAACCATTATAATTGTCTTTTTAAATAAAACTATTTTCAATGCTCGTAATCAAACGGCAGAAAATACGCATAATAAAGTCATGCAACAAAAAAAAGCAAACTGGTGAAACTTAAAATGTCAGTCGATACTTTTTTTATGTGAACGAGATCCGTTTAAAGATCGTTGCGTCCCCATTAGTAGGGCAAAGTAACGGTTCAATAATGAATAATGCTTTTTAGATAAAAGCAGTGAATAGTAGTTGGTTTATTAATGACGACCTATTTAAGAAAAACAAGTTTCGCTTGTCAACCTTTTGCATACGTTTCAGACGTCGGAAAAAACTGAATGTGTACTACTCAATAGTGCATTTGAAGATTTCTCCATCGATCATAGATCAAGTATAAATGTTCATATTATTAAAGATAGACATTCAACAATGAATATTGGTACCATTTGTATTTATTTATCATTGATAATTTGATAGAATATGAATCAACATTAATCGAAACTTTATTAAATCTACAGCAGTTTATATTAAGAAATTTTTTACAAAAGAAAAGACTTTCAAGATGACAACAAACATGCTTCTATTGCAACAAAAATATTTCTTTTTTTTTCTCAAAACGTAATATAATAAATAGTTATAGATACTAGTGTTGACTATATGAACACTAATTATATAGGTACTTTGAGTATTGGAATGATCATTTACATTACAATCTGCTCATGCCGTCAAAATCGCGTACGTTCTGATGATTAATCACGTTCCTAAAAAAAAGAACAATGATTAATCGGATTTCGAGAAAGATAATCATTGATTAATCACGATGTGATTTCGATAGAACCTCACAAACAAAGCTACATAATAAATAGTGATAAAATCGTTAATTTTTGCACGATTGTCATCACATAAAATTTGACTAAGAAGAGTTATCAAAGAATTGATCTTAAGGGAGTGAGATTAGCATAAATATTATAATTAATCTTCATGCTTTGATATTATTTGCATTAGAATTGATAAATAACAATATGATAGCATTATTTTTAATTCTAATACATCTGCTACCTCCGACTGTACCTCTGAAAGTTCAAGTGCATCCATATTCAAAATGTTCCAATGGTAGGAAAAAGACTTTTTTAAAGCACAATTTCCATTCTCAAAAACAAACCAACAAAGAGTTTCTGTACCGATAGTATCACTCTACAAAAAAGAGAACAAAACGTTTTTTTTAACCGGAAACACCATTCCACAAAAAAGAATAATGGCTTGCTTGTCTTGGAAGTGTCATTCTAGAAAAATAGAACAAAAGATTTTTAACCGAGAGCGTCATTTCCGACATGGAGCAAAATGGTCCTCTTTTCTTGGAATTGTTTTTACAAAACGGAACAACATTGCTCAGTTTTCGAAACTTTTGAGCTTAAAGTATTTAAGGCCTAACCGTTGGTAGTCAATGCAGTGACATTAAAAATAATGTTAATTTAATACTAACATTTTAGTATTAATTAATTCTACTGCAAACAATATCAAAGTATTTGAGTTCATTTTAATACTAATAACTGCAGCAGTAGCTTTAGTGTTATTAACTGAATATTTTTGATTTATAGTTGTTCTTCTTGCTACTTGCACACATATATTCTAAAAGTTGTGTTTGAAAGATATATTTTTTTTTAATAAGACGTAGACAAAAGGAAGTACTATGATAATCCTTACTGGATCAGCGTAATTAAATTATTTCAGATCAAAATTGATGCATAAATAAGTTGATACTTTTCCTTTAACATGAGTGAGTTATATTACACGAAAACATTCATTTGTTTTATAGATTGAAAATAATGTTCGTGAATACAAGATAGGTCAGTCTTTTTTTGTGCAATGATCAGTTTCTTATCTTTCGTTCATTATAATCTTAGTTCAATTAGTGTCAAAAAAATTCACCAAACCACTATCAATTATATAATTGTTGAAAAAAAAGCAGTATTCATGTAGGAAAAAATTGTGCAATATATTTATCGTACCTTTTTTCCTTAGAAAAACTAATTATGTCCATTCTCGAGGATGGTAGCAATGGAAGACAAACAATAAGCATATATATGCATATCCATCTTGAGAGAAGTTTCAGTTTGAATCAAACATAAGTCAGGATTATGTACAATTTGTTGATCTGCAATCTGACATATTGCATATGATATTGAAGAGCATAGCTCTCGTTTGATTCTGTTCAGGACAGGTGGGAGTTTAAGGAGAAAGTTTTTCAAAGCGACAGGGAAACAATTCATTTATCAGTTTTTTTTTTCGCTAAAATATATTCTCAACTGAAAGGATGTGAGTACGAATATTTTCCTTCTTCTTATTCAGACCCGTCATTATTGGGAAAGGGAATCGAATAAACCTCTTTAAGACTATTTTTTCACCTAAAGAATTGACTATGCGTTGCACATGATATCCTACGAAAGTGTTGTAAGTATCATATTCGAACAAATACACTATATCAGTATTTCATGAAAATGATTGAAAATTTTTGTGTTGTAATATAAGATATTC